CCTGGGACCCTTATATACCTACTATGTTCCCTATATGTACCCTTATAGGGACCCTAGTTCCCAGAGTTATGCTGCAGGCCAGCTGCGAGGTTCCATTGAGGGCCGATGGTGTAGAAGCCGGCAACTCCTGCGAATCCAAACTTCATGCGTGCCGGGTGGGCAGGATTTGCAAAAGCCGCTCTCCCAGCACTCCTTCTTGGTGTCCGTTGTGCTCTTGGCCTCTGGCTCCTTGGAGCTGCGATCCTTCGCCTCTTTGGTCCTCTCCCTGGAGTCTTGGCTCTGTGTGTTCGCGCTGCTCTGAATGTCGGCAGTCTGCCTTCCTTCTGATTTCGCAGGATCTACCTGCATGGGGACATGCGTCACCTTGGCAGGCTCTTTCGTACTAGCTGTGTCTCGGCTCGTCTCTTTCTGGGCTGCTTCCCCGATGCCGGCACCGTTCCTGAAACAGGCAGGACAAACGCCCGGGAAGAAAGCGAACGAAGCCTTCCTAGGCCTTTCTGAGCGTAAACACTACAGTAAACCCCAAGCTTGCTCGATCTTGCCGCTCAGAAGCGGGGCTCGGCCGGACGCCGGAGGCTTCTCACGGGGCTCGGCCTGGAAGTAGTAGGGCTTTCTGTTTCTAGGGCTCTGGGGGTTTAGGGTTTCGGGTTCCGGTTGCCTAGTGGTCCAGAGTTGACGGTGCCTCTCCCTTCCCAGTGACACACAGTACCTGCCAATTGAAGAGCCTGAATGTCTTCCAAAGCACTGTTCGGGAAACATCTCACAGTGCCTTCTATTCTACATGCACCTGCATCCATGAACTTACACCGGCCACGCGACAAAGCTTCCAAGAAAGGGTGTCCCAAATCCCGGACTCAGACCTGATCCTCCAAATCCTGAACCACAACCCCTTCTTGGCGGCCAGGAAGCGCTGGCCACCGCCGGTGTAGGAGCAGTAGCTGCCTGCGCGGGACGGCGGGCTCCCTTTTCCCCAAGGCGCTGGCTTTGATTCCCAATGGATGAGGACAGCTTGGCAACGGCGCCAAACAGCCACCGTTTGCCATGTTTGTCATCCCGCTGCTGACACAAGCCAGGAGGCAACGACCAGTGATTAGTTCTATAATTAACACGGCTACTGTAGTTGTAATCCCGGCATATTAGCACGCTCTGCCAGCCTCGTTGCGTCTAAGCCCTCAACTTTTATCGTAGTAGTAACCCAATGCTACACCCCGCAACATCTCCAGAACCGAAACCTACCCTAAACCCTAAACCACTGAACCCCTAAACCCTAAACCCCTAAACCCTAAACCCCTAAAAACCCTAAACCCTAAACCCCTAAAAACCCTAAACCCCTAAACCCTAAACCTTAAACCCCCAAACCCGAAGGGCGCCCGGGCGCCTCGGCGTTTGCGGAGCCCGGGCCGGCCTCACCCTGGAGGCGAGCCTGCAGCACCTCTCCGAAAAAGGGACTCTCAAAAAGGCTTATGTTACACGGTTTAGGGTTTAGGGCTTAAGGTTTAGGTTTAGGGTTTAGGATTTAGGGTTTAGGGTTTAGGGTGGTTTAAGGATTAGGGTTTAGGGTTTAGGGATGAGGGATTAGGGCTTAGGGTATAGGGTTCAGGGCTTAGGGAGTACGAATGTCTGGTTCATGTCTTCTTCCACCTGCCCAGACCCTGAGCTAGTAGCAACCTTGCTGCGGGAGGGCTTCGGGCTTCATGGGCTTCTGTTTCAGGGTTTAGCCTCGGGGGATCATAATAATATGCAGGATGCTTCGGCCCCATATGTCATACGCGGCCCCTGTAAGAATAGGCTTTCTGGTTGATGGGGGGAAGTCTGTAGCATAACTTCACGCAAGGACTATCACTATAAGTATGGTTATACAAGGATTGCAGGGCGATACTATTACCAACCGTTCCCCCCTTGTACTGGGAGGGTTTGGGGTGTCTGTTTGTGTGTTTAGCATTGTAACTATAAAAAGCCCAACAATCTGCAGGATTGTTCCACCTAGGGCGGATTAAGCACAAAATCAGTGTCTTGGATGTCGCGATGCGCGAGTTCTGCATGTTGGATTTGACGGGGCTTAAGGCTGTTGGTGCGGTCCGTGCAGTTGGAAATCAGCATTCTGCGATTCGGGATTCAAAACTTAGGTGTCGAGTCCCAGTGCTTCCTGGCGTGACTTCTAATCAATGAACATGTGCAGGGCAGTTCCAACAAACTGCGACAAGGCCCGTTCGTACATCTGCAGCTGTATCTGTACAACTTATCAACAATGGGAAAACGATGTCTTTTTCAGGTGACGGGATCAACCACGCGCCTGTTGCAGCCAAATGCTGATGCTCTGCATTTCCGAGGTAGGCCTTCCGCACGAGAAGCACCCAGAAACCGACACCCTCCACCCGGCAACTAAACTTAACCAAACCCTCTTCCCCTTCACTTCGTTTCCAAACAGACAAACAAACCTAAACTTCTGAGGCGGGTGGCAGCTTGCGCAGTTCCTGTTGCAGCCATTGTTGATGGCCTGCCTCCGGGACAGGGGGCAAGGTGCCAAGCCCAAGCCGCTCAACACCCAAGCACTTGCACTTGGGCTTAGGGCCGCTCAGGGATCCAAAGGGTTTTTTTATCACCTCTTGGATCCAAAGGGTTTAGGGTTTAGGGTGACATCCTCGATCACCTGGTCTGCCCCAGGAAGAAGACTACCGCGAAAACTTCTCGGGAAGCGCCTGGCCAGCTTCCATGGCTCCCCAGGAGGCGCGGAATCCAACTATGAAGCCCGGAGCCGGCCTAGATACCACAAAAATGGCCGTTGAACCAATGAGGCCCTCTCTAGCAGATATCTGCTTTGAGAAGATCTGCGATGACATTACCGGCGAGTGATCCTGCGTGCTGTGTGCCTGTAAACCTGTCTGCTAGATTCAAGATGTGCGCACAGAGAGGTGGCAAACCAAATTTTGTGTGCCAAGTGACTTGCTACTTTTGCTATTGACTTGACTGGCACTTGATCCATGTGTTGCGTCTCGCCTAAAATAGGCCTGTGTGCAGAGCCCAGACACAATACGTGCGATTGAACTGGCAACAAAACTCGTGGCAATCGACAAGCCATAGAACTCGATCGATATCCTACCAAGACCCCTCCTTACCGCCCATGTGCAACAAGGTGTACCTTATCAGCACGCTCTTCGAGCTCTTCTGGACTGTAGCCCTCCACCACGAAGCTCGCCTGATGCAGAACGAATATGATCTGATCATCACTTCGATTAACAGATTAACAATACCGACAATACCTTTCCATGCACCTACGGCGTTTAAGTTTGCCGTTGCCAATGCCCGCCCGAGGTAGAATGGATTGCGTGTCATCGCAGGCTCTTGAGGCCATTCCACGCTTGCTTGGCTGCTTCAGCCTTCTTGGCTGGTTCCATGACAGGACTTCCGTATGCAACTACTGGAAATCTGAGACATTGAAGCTGCAGTCCTTCAGATTCCCGGGACGGATCCGCATGGCAACAAGACATACCAAGCAGGGACACAGCGCAAATAGCATTCTCCTGCACGACTTGGAGGATCGAGCAAGCAACCACCAATCAATAGACTGACAAAACAGTCGGCATGCTTCTGCTCGGAACGCCTATGCGCCCCTCGAGCTTCACCGAGAATATCCGACAATCTGAAATTCATGCCCTTAACTGACTGCTGACAGCGAGAGCGAGGGCGCACCCGCAACATTTCGACCAGCTCTTGCCGATCGATGAGACCGCTGCCATCCTGTGTGGGGGGGTACAGATAAAAAACGCACTTGGCATTTCCGGCAGGGGCTGAGGATGACCTAGCTGGATGCCTTCACCCAGCTGCGTTAAGGACTAGCCCTTGTAACTTGTCAGATGTTAGTTACCAGAGGTGTCAAGCACAAGAGATCGAGGCATTCGGTTGCGTTAGTGGCAGAACTCCGCAGACAACATCCTACGGCGTCGAGATGGTGTCGGAAACTATGGCAGACTTGTAGGAAAGGCTGTGAATGCAAGTGGCAGATCGACCGATTCTGGCATGTCATCTTTGGCCGGGAACAGTTCAAGTGCACGAAAAGGTGATCCTCAGACTTAGCTCAGACTTAGCAAGCGAGAGAAACCTACAGTTGCAGTGCAGTTAAACGGTGCCCTTGAACAGCCTACTCCCTACATAACTTAGTAGGCACCTGGTCGAACATCATGAAGGCAAACTTCAGCTTTTCCGTCTTTGCTGCCTTGGTGATGTGGCAGACCAACCAAGCAAGTGCTAGCCTCAAAACTGCCAGGACTGCTGGCCTGCAGACATCCGCATATCACTCCATCCCAACGAGTTGGCGACACGCGCACCAGGCGCAGTAGTGCTGCATGCGCATTCTGATTCTTCTCTGACGGGAATAGGAAGGAGCAGGGGGGTTGGGGGGGGGGGGGGNNAAAAATAACGTCCTTTGGTGTTTCGTGCGAATCTTGAGTGGGGGAAGGAGGGGGGCAGGATAATAACGCTTTTTGCCACTCACACTCTCTGAAACTCAGCCGCCCTCTTGGCTTCGCAGTTCTGTTGCGCGACTGGTCACGTTGCTGAACCCATTCTTCATCTCGGCTTGGTTGAGCGTTGAACTGCCGCAGCACTATTGTACTGACGATGTCATACTCGATTGGCTCCGGGACTGGCAGGGTTTGCTACCCTTGCTCTCTCAGGTGATGTCCTCCGCAGGGCATTACAGAGAGGGCGTTGCCCGCTCCCAAAGCACACCAGATAAACTTACAGAAAACCCAGCAAACGCGCAAATATGCATCACCATGCACTATGCATAGTTTAGGCTCTTGCGCAATACCCCACTTGTTCGTAGAAATCGTGCGAAAGCCCGAGAAGCAAGCTGATTCCTACCCTTCACAACAACACGGCTCCTCGCACACAGTGCTAATTAGTTGCAAAGTGATGCTAGCATTGGACAGGTATATGCCGTCACTTCATGGTACGACAGGGCAACGGTTTAGTTGTGAGGCCCCTGCCGCGGTGTACCGCGACAGGACGACGATGAACTCTTTCAGCTCAATCATGCCACTGCCGTCCTCGGATAAGAGGCTTGTGCAGTCAATCCTATGAACTGTACACCGCACTTATGCTAGGCCGGAGAGGTGAAGTAGGCCATGCTCCGGGTTTTGTCAGCGCCCACCAGGGCCAAAACAACGGAGAAGGAATTTCCTTCAGGTGGGCGCGACGCACTAACATGACCGGAATGATGGCGTTGATGATGCTGATGCTGATGCTGATGCTGATGCTGATGCTGATGCTGATGCTGGTGCTGGTGCTGGTGCTGGTGCTGGTGCTGGTGATGATGATGATGACGGTGATGATGATGACGGTGGTGATGACGA